CCTCCAAATTAAGACAACTTTAAAAAAGTTGGTTATTCTGGATAGCAGGAAATTGTAATTAATGGAGGCTTTACAAACGGTTATCGTAAATTTTTATTGGTAACAGCAAAGAGAGTTTCGGTATCTTAAACAGTGATTTCCACTACACACACGGTCATGTAAATGTCGCAACAAGTCTTTTTTAATGTTACCCTCAACACTGACTTTTCCGACATCCATTTTTTTACCCACCGCGTCTTTATCACAGCTGATGGCGATTTCTGTCAGAACATCCAGTTTGAGACGTTGGTTGACGTGTTCTCGATACTCACGAGCACATCGTTGCATGTGTTCAACTAGCATATCGAAGGCTTCCATGGAAAGGGGTCGAACAAGCGCCATCGTATACTAAGAGACCGGAGGTGAGTCACTGTTATCACTCACAAAACATCCGACAATATTTTAGCGGAAAAGGCAATCTTTACTGAATTGCGGACATCACAAAGAACGACTCCTGTAAGCCACTTCTTATAGAGATTACCTTATTCGCTAAGATTAGGATTTTAACTTACTGTTAAAAACTCGGATCGAATGTAGCATTCAACATTTTCATCTACGGGTTCGACATGAACAACAGGTCGTTCGGTTATCATCAAGTTCTCAGGGAGGTTTATGGCGATCTGAAGAAACGACTGTATAGACTTTTGGACCTTAATAAGGAAAGGAAGGAGATGTAGCTTACGAAGAGGCTGTAAAAGTTCTGATGAAATTAATTTCAAAACGAAATTGATATCTAGCTTATAACGGTACCATTAGTTGTTTTTATAATGGAGATATGAACTCACTCCACCAATAATGTTGCTGCACAATATTTACAAAATTTTAAACATTATGCCGATGTGTAAGAGCTGACAGCAATTCGACGTACTACCACAGCATTTATATCATCCCTGCCGTCCAGCCTGAAGCAGTCAAATACTGGATCTAGTTTCCGTCTCTTCTCATCTAATTCTCTTTCTTCTTGCTCCTTAAGCATTTCAAAATCCGATTTTCTTTTGTCCGCAGCAGCCGTAAATTTCGCCAATTCCGTATCTGACTTGAGAAACAGGTCTTGTTTCAACAATCCCAAAATCTGCCGAATTCCACGCGAATATGGTGTAAGGCAGATATTTCCCGTAAGGTTATCATATTTTGGGTTATTACGCATTAAAAATTCTGCGAGACGATTAAGTGGATTAAAATTAACTTTCATTTGCTCGAATTCAGCTTTTTCTTCATCAGTTTTACCTTCGGATGGTTGGCATAATCCATGTTGATCTGCTTCACGAAGTACATGCTCCAAACCAAGGACAAGAATAGGAAAGAGATGTTCGGCAAGAAAGGCACGGACCTCAACTGAAATTGTGCAGTTTTGAAGCCACTGATATGAAAGTATGTCAATGGGAATGCGCTGAAGCAGCCATTCTACACGATCCACTAAGGCTTCCTTAATTCGCCGTTGGTCTTCGCGTTGGTAGGAAAGAAGGCGGACAAGAAAAAGCTCCTCATTATAAAGTCGCTCTTGAAGGGCAGTAGTACGAATGCGTATCTGTGGTCGACGTAGCTGGCTGTGAGGTTCTTCTCCATGAGTATGAAAGCGTTGAGAAAAAGGAAACCCTTTTGCAATTTCATCTACTGTCTTGGGAGTGCATTTGTCCTGGTCGTCCATCTTGATCTTAAAGCATAGAAAAGTCGATACCGTTGATAACGAATTTATAACCAGAGATCACACACTATTATCCCAAGTGAGCAGAGCCGTTGCCAGAAAGTCTACTAAGTTATATAGAATTAAATTGCACAAAACAATTGTAATCATAAAAGCTTATACTTATCTGTGCAAAATGCATGGATACTGATATATATCGGACCTTGTTTAATCATTTAAGGTATGTTAAAAATGCAACTTTACATAAAAAAGAAAGATTTTTACAAATATCGCG